TGCTACCCCTGCATCTAAGAATTTTGTAACCTGGTCATAGAAGGCCACCAGGTTGGTCTGACAGGACCTGCCTCTAATGAACCCATGCTGGTTGCCCCTGAGCATAATCTCCCCTGCTGGCCCCTCGTGGACATGTGCCAGGATAATTCTCTCAAAAAGCTTACCCAGGATCGAGGTAGGACTAAGGTTCTCCACAAGAAAAGCCTCTCTTCACAGGGCCTGCCCCGCTGCCCCTTGACCGGATGAGTGGCCCTCCTCTGGACCCTCTTAATGCTAGCCACATCCCTCTTGAAGTGTGGCACCCAGAACTGGACGCAGTACTCCAACTGCAACCTGATCAATGCCACATAGAGGGGAAGGATCACCTCCCTGGACCTGCTTGTGATGCATCTGTAGATGCACAAGGTGCAGTTAGCCTTCCTGACTGCTTCCTCACATTGGCAGCTCATGTTCATCCTGGAGTCAACAATGACTCCAAAATCCCTTTCTGCCACCATGTTGACAAGAAGGGTGTTCCCCAGCCTATAAGTGTCTTGCTGGTTCCTTCTCCCTAGATGTAGTACCTTGCACTTGTCTGCATTGACAGACCCCCTCATCCCCCCACCAGGAAGAGGCTCGCACCACTGCTGCCTGCTAGCACTGCTGGGGCTGGTCTCCATGGAAACCCCGGCCCCACCCTGTTACAGTGAGGCTGCTGCTGGGGTCTCCATAGAAACCGACCCCAGCCGTGCAGGCAGGGGCTGCTGGGAAATAGAGTCCACGGCCGGCTGGATCCAGGCCATGGGCCGGATTTTGCCCGCATCTCCTATAGTCTGATTTTTTCCTTAAGAAAGTCACTTGCTAGTGGGCCTACATCTTCTCTGCTCCTGACAACTAATATAAAGACACTGAAATAAGTTGAATTATGCTTGTGTAAATGAAGGGAGAATCCAGTTCAGTGGCTTTTTCTTTAGAAAAAAAATTAAAAAGCACTATATTCCAATATGGTTCCAGAAGAACATTGTAATTGGAGTAATCTAGGAGACTGTGCTGCTTTTGCATCTCAAGGGATTAGTTATTCATCTCTTCAATGGGTCCCCAGAATATTTAATGAATAATTTGAAACCAAATAACTTGTAACAATCCCCTGAGAGGACATGCGATGTTCTAATGCAACCTCTGCAGGCAAGGTATTTAGTGACAATAATTTCATGTATTGATGCTGCTTATTAAATAACCTTTATACACGACAAAGTACCACTGTATCTTTGTTAAGTATTTGCTACAACTTGGAGAATACAACATAAAAAAGAAAGAGAAACAGGCTCAGGGGGAAAAGAAAGAGAGAAAGAAAAAAGGAAACAGCTCTGAAAAAGATGTTCCATGATCTATTCAGGAAAAGAAAAGACAGTAAAGTGAGGTTAGAAAGGGAATGTTGTAAGGTAGTAGAGGCCAACCTCCTGGCGGTAGTGCTGCAAATTACCTTCCCTAATTGCCACTCTTATTCCTTTCCCCTTCCTGATCTGCTGCTCTGCTTTCTGGTGCTTTGCTTTATGCTCCCTGCCTACTGTGCTGCTATGCATCCTGTCCTGTCTGCCACAGTGCTGTCTGTCCCCTCACCAATCTGCCATGGGCCACACAGACAGGCTGCTCATGCCACTTGTGGCACCAGTGACACAGGCTGACCTCATTGTCAGGAATCCTAATGGACTGGCAGTATTTCCTTGAGATGTGCTACCAGGTGCTAATCCTGCTGGGCAACGATGGCTTGGTTCTGCTCATCTGTTGTTGCAAGCAGTTTTATAGAGATGCTTGCAGAGGGCTGGCAGTAGAATTTAGAAGCAATCAAAGCTAGGAAGAAGCCTAAACCTGAATGTTGTTGGTCCATCTGTTAGAAAAAGCATGACCTCTAAGGCAGGGGTTTAGTTCTCTCTATGCAGTAACTGGACTTTGTTTTAGGGCAGTTTAATGGCATGCCCTAGGACCTATAGCATGCCCTGAAGTCAGCTAATCGGAGCAGGGTATGTTTTTTAAGACCTAGGACTCAGTTGTTTGTTGTACTCAGGAATGTCTCTGTTTTCTGGAGCCAAAACAAAAAAACAATGAAAAAACCAAGTTGCTCCGGAACATCACAAGAAAAAATATAATAAAGGATGGAGATGAGCTGGCAGCAGCCTCTGCATTTTTGCTTTGTCTTGCACTGAAAAGTTATGCCTATTTTAAACAAGCCTCAGGTCCAACCTGGATTGCTGCTGGTGAAGGAGGCTTGGGGCGTCTGAAGGTTAAATGAGTTGAGGCCTGTCTAAGTTATTACCAGCCCAAGGATCAGAAAGCATTGATGCAGTCTTCAGCTGTAGGCAGATGGTCTCCCCTTGGGATCACTGATCACTAGGATGCTGTGTGAAGCTGCCCTCAACTGGAAATTAATGAAGGCTTTTGATTAGCCCTTTGTTCTGTTGTCAGAGAAACCCCACAAATCACTTCGTAGCCAAGGCTTCTTGGCATCGTCAAATGTTAAGGGTCAAAGTGATCATGAAATCATGTGGTTTAAAGGCCACGATTCAGAACATCTCCTGGTGCTGAGAGAACCCTCTGTTTGGTATTCAGCATGCATCATAGACCTGAATGTGTCAGTGGCAGTGGGAAACAGTACATTATAAATGCAGAGCAGGCTCCAGGTAGGGGAAATGAGCAACGCTGACAGAGAGATGGTAGGAGAAA